CGCGATTGCCTCCGATATCTTTCGAGATACTAAAATCTGAGTGTGAATGGAACAACCCAGTGATCTCTTACAAATGCTTCATGGAACACTTATCGAAATCATTATCAATGAACATGCAGTCATTTCACTCTTTACTAATTACATGCGCCATTTTGCTGGAGCACTTTTTTGAATTCATGTGATGATTTTTCTGATGTGAGGAGAAATTGCCTTGATCTTTTCAGTAAGTGATAATCGAGAATGATCATTCAGCTAGATATCGCCTTCTTATCTAACGTTGATAACACATTCAAGTTTGACTTTTTGAAGTCTTGTGAAGCGATTACTCAAGAGAATGTTGATAAGGAAATGTGTTCTAAATTGCATTGTTGAATTCAGCTGATTCGATCACCTCAGAGTATCGCTGACTTTGCCGTCCTTCAATTAATATTCGATAGATTATAGCGATAGTTTCAAGGACACATAAGATGCCAATCACAACCGTTATCACTAAAACGGCTGTTTGAAGTGACGTAATCGAATCATATAAACGTCCCGCATCCGTTAGCCATAGTCGTTTTGGTGTGAACTGCAACTGAAACATAAACTCCTTTTCAAACTGACCATGTGAAACAGTTGGGATCAACTAGCAATAACGATAACAACGATGTTTTGTTTGATTGATTTTGACTGCATTTCTGTGAATATCACAATCCAAATTAATATTAGTTTACATTGTCAAACGCAATAAAAATTCCATTAGCTCTAAACAATAGATCCAAAGGAGCATTTCATAACATTTTCACATTCAATTCCGATGGACTCTCTCATCTCAGAGGGTTCAATAGAATCCCGAAACTTGCATTCAGATATTCTGAATCCTCTTAGGACTCTCAAACGATTTCACCAGCGACTGTCGTCAATGCTAACTCTTGCCAGTTCATTCANTTCTGAGCGGTTTATAGGTGAGATTTTCTATGGGCTCATATACGACCGCAATTCCCTAGAGACTAGGTTATAACCTTTATAACCTTAAATCTTTAAAAGGCACTCATTCAAGGCGAGATCCGTTCAATCCATAACTCAAATGCTCCATAACCTGTGACATCGCCTTTCCATACGACATTTCCAATTCAGCCGACATGAATTAAAACTTAAGCTCTACGACCAAATGCCCACCACAACCACTCACAAACAATATAATAATCGACAATGACCCAGTCCAACCTTACTCGCTATTAATACCCTCAACTGATTCTACAAATTATCATACATACAAATCAAATCTGCATAACTGAAAGGCTAACTTTAACCAAAAAAATCTTATGCTAATGTGGAAATCATCGAAAAACGTTATCCCTTTGCATATTCCCATTCAAATGTCCATCTCTCATTCCCAATTCCATTCCTTATTCATAGAATGTTTTAATAAGTGAACTGATCGATGTCGTCCTTCTTCAGAGGTTTTATTCCCGAATTCGGAAAATCTCATTATTCTGTTGTCAATTCCATGCACAACAACACAACACCTTGACCGATTCAGACACTTTATAATTGTCATAAATAATAATGATAAAGCGAAAAAACAAAACACCTGAATTCAATTTAAAATCGACATCAATCAAAGATAAATACACATGTTCTAGTGAAACCTCAAAAATTTCCACTGCATGCGAAGACAACTTGCTCAAGAAAGAAACAGAAGAACAAACACTACAATGAATAAAACTGGATGGAATGGGGGAGTAATGAGACAAAACTTGAAATTATATGAAACAACAGAAAATCACAACACACTGAAGACAAAATTGAGAACAAAACCATCCGATGAAATCATTGCTTCTCCAAGTTTGATACTACAAGCAATCGCAAATGAATGACAATCTCTTTGATATGACCCAAATTAATGATAGTATCATGAATCCACAAGTAGTTTTTCACAATTAACATGCGCATTCAAAAAACACAAAAAGCAAATTAAAAAACCAAAACCTCAAAATCCTTAAACAATCTATCATAACATAACTAAAATCAACTAAACATGATAAGTTTCCATCTCAACTTTACAAAACATTCACACAGACAGTACGCATTTACAAGTTTCTTCACTGATTATGCACCTCCAACGAATCCTGCAGCTGCCGTTGTCCGCATTGATGCAAATAGACGTGTCAACGAAATCCGATTGAAATCATTTCGTGACAACTGCTCTTGACAAACTTTCAGCAGAGCCGCATTCAACGCTAACACCTCATTGACATCCTTACGAGTCCGTAACTTTTCTTAAACAATTTTCATTTCTACAATAAGACAAGCACAGGATAATAACATTTCAAAATGAATGAATAAATGACTGTTCATTACCGAGTAAAATATACGTGCAAGCGATAATATAACATCAAATGCAAAAATATCTGACAATTCTAACAATATGACGACGAACTAAAACAATAACTATCGAAATACACCTTATAACCATGAATGCTATCACAGATATTCTTGAAATTCAATTATTTCTTCTTAAAATTCAATAAATAAACCATTCAAAATCTCCTGCCACAAATCAAATTTAATTCCGCATACGAAAAATGAATATTTCAGTTCATTTCGATGGGAAAACCGTCTTAAAGAAATAAACTCACTCTGCTGTTCCGTGTTGCATTCACTCAACGCTTTCGTCAAATCGAATAACGCCTCAAAGAACGACTGCTGCTCATATAAGAGTCTTGACGACTTCTGAAATCAATAATATTTATTTTCTGCTAACTGCAATTTCATTTCAACAAATACATAAAGAAAAGAGCAATAACACGACAAAACAATCTCTTTCGATTCATGAATTGGTATGTTTCGATGTAATGAAGCATGTATCTGCTCGCTCCACTTACCTCTCTTTTCATAATACCATTCATACACTTCGGACAAACCGCTCCTTGCCGTGTGAAACTCAACGATAACACACGAGTTCGATAAGCACACACCACATCATCACAGACGAAACCACCCTAGAATTTTATTTTTAAAAAAAAGAGTGAGTGAGAGCTTTATTGAAGTTTTTTCCTCGAAAATCCGAACTTTCCATGATAGGATAAAATATTAATCATCCATCAGTAATTATTTTGTTAGGTACGAGCGATGCTAAAAAGCTACTTGAAAAGAAAAGAATAAATTGATGAACGATTGTATAAAATTCAAAACAATAAACAAACGTACCGTATAATACTCATGAATCGCATTCGATTGTGCCAGACTCAATTGATTGATAAGATAGCTGGGAAAAGCTGTTAGCG